ATATAAAGAGGGAGAATAAGAATCTAGTGACTCTTAAGATTTTCTAGTTTATTATTGTGGTGTGATGTAATTTATATAACCAGGTTTTGGTGTCGGATACCTGTTGGTCCTCAAGTTGATAAGCAGAAGTTTAATGCAATGGTTGTATTTTGTTAGTTCTTTTCTTCCATAATCTCATACAGAAGCCTGCTATATTTTCTTCTAAATTTAAAGTCAATGAAGTAATTAGTATAAAGCAGAGAAGAAAGAAAACAATGGCATATAATTAAATATTCATAGATAAAATTATGAGCTATCTACCTCTTTGGATTCAACACATTTAATGTCAAAACCTGTCAGTGAATGCTGTTTTGATCTAGTTCAGTCAATCTGCTTAACCATGACACAGTTTTCTATGATCCTGTACATCATCATCTGTGTCTACTTAGTGTCAATTTCCAAGGGGTTTCCTTACCCTAATTATCTATTCATAGATTCTTTGTTTTCTGCTTCCATTTTTTTTCAGTTAGCACACTATAACTAATATCATGGTGAAGGATATTATTTGAAAAATTTGTAGTTGCTCATTAATTCAAGATATTCCCTGCTGTATTGAAACCGAAGTTTAATTATAATATTATCATGTTCACAAAATCCCACCATTAGACCCCAGAATGAGCCATTTTAATCCAGTGCACATCCTCTCATCAAGTTTCTGTAAGGTTACTTGTAATATTACAAAATACTATACAGCTTTTCAGTTTGGTGCTTTCAAAGTTCATAAGCATATATTGGGAGTATAAGGTATAATCGGCTAAAACTTATAGTAGCTTCGCCTTTTACTTTCTGTCATAATTATTTTAAAAAAATGTTACTCATGCACCGTACACCATTGATCTGGAATGTGTCATTCTTTTCCTTGTCTTCAAAAGGCTTACTTACTATAATTTCTGAAATAAAACTGAATAATAATGTGGCAGTGTCACAATACTTTTGATGTGCTTTGACAGAGTTGCCATGCTGTTTAATCACATTTTTGGTTTCTAATTCCACCCTTTCTGGTAATTATATAAGCTAATATTGTATGACTACATGTTTACAGTAACAACTGAATAATATTATACCTAGTATAACATTTATTCCAGCATACAGAATTTGTACACATCATTGTAGTAGTTTAATCATTAATTTGTCCATGTATGATATGCTTTTACAAGTACAGTCTTGGCAATTAGTGTGTTTATCTGGTTTAATAGTGAAAGCCTGCAATAGTACTGTGTGCTTGGCTGACTGTACTTTAAACAATAGTGTAATTTATATTAAGTAAAGCCAGTGGAAAACTTTCTTGGACATTTGCCACTGTCTCACATAACAATTAATAAGTAACATGATTGGTAGCAGAGATGTTGTTTCTGGTTGATGACATAATATTGTTGTGTGGTATATTTCGATGTTTTTGACATCCCTGGTGTCTCTGTTCTCTGGACGAAGTGGTTACCAAATGGTCCCTGCTGATGTTTAATGTACATATCTACAAGTTGGTGAAAGTTACTAAATCTGATTCATTAAGTGGAAATTGAGACACAAAAGTCTAACTTTGATCTGGTGCTTTCTGGGGCCATCCAAGGAAATATAATCCCACAATCCATGCCCCTTATCTTATATTTTTCCCTTTATTTCCTCTCTGTTTTCTCCTTTTATCCGTATATTACTTCCACTTTCCCCCAAGTTGCAACTTATGTGCATGCTTTCCACTGAGACATCGTACTCATACAACCCCATCCACTCCTTCCTCAAGAAAGGTCTAATTATTGTCTTTCTTTCCTGTGCCTATTATAACTTTACACAGATCAAATAGATAAGTTACTGACAACCTGTGTATCTGTACAGTATGATCAGGGATAATTTGGTAGTTACTTTATCTTGAGAATGGTTACAGTAAGGATCTTCATAACGTCTGCAATAAAGCGTGCATCTACATAATGCCATCACACAGTAACAAGCTCCACATTAGCATTGAATTTCTGTGAAATCCTGAAATTTAAAATTTTCTGAATGTTTAAAGTATTCTTAAGCACAACAGTCCAGCTAGGTAATATTTATTATGTTAATTTATCTCTTTAATTAATGTCACTGTGATGTGCATTTAGACAAACTATATTGCAGTGTTGTAGAATCGATAATAGCTTTGTTCTTACTCTTAGCATAGTCTGGATTGACTACCTTAAATTTGAACTGCAAATCAGCAAAGTAAGGTGCAGAATTGCTTTCACTAGAGGTCTCACAGTCATGACTCTGATGTGATTTATATTATATTGTTTTTAATCATATTAGATTTTAATGTAAGAAAATGTCATTGATTGTAGATATGGAAGTGCCATTTACCTTTCCTCTTTGTTTTTGTTTGAATAATATTTTGCTTAAAGGGCTCTGTATCAAGCCAGTTTTAATAATTCTTGCATTATTTTGAACAATGTATTGGGATGGTAGGCTGCCCAAGTTTTGTCTATGCTAGATGTACAATTACAAAGTCATATTTATTGATCTTTGAACAACAGCATTATAGCATTTAAAGCAACTGACTTCGACAAGGAGAGAGCAAAAAATGTGAATTACACTTACTACAGTGTGATGAATGATAAAAGAATATTTGGGAATTTTTAGAGACTCCAGACATGCTTCAGAGTAAGAATAAGGCTTTTGATGATGTTAGGTTCCATGTTGGTATTTTTACAGTCACGGTTTGATAGCTAAGCTAAGAGTCTGGTTGGTGGTTTGCTGGTTCTTGTACCCTATATAGGCGGTGTTTGCCAGCTGGATTCCTGAGATTACCGAGCTTGCAGGAAACCGGTGCAAATATGGCGGGCAATACAAGCGGGAACGTGGACGGAGGTACATAAGTGCTCGATGATGATAGTACTGCTCACTCTGACTTGCCAGTTACTAGCCAATTTGACATCTCTCTCTCTTACTGTATTTATATCCCTTTCACTTGTCATGACACATAACTTTAGTATTGGTATTACTGTTATATTTTGCAGCTGATGAAAATCTTCCCAGTCTTTTTAGTATGGAATTTTTGTTTATTAACAACTTAGTTCCCATTGGCTAGTTGTATGAGCAGATGCAGAGAATTTCAAGCTGTGTTACATTTAAATGAGAGAAGAATCACTCCACGAACTTTTTGCTGTTGGTAGACACCACAGTATTAATATATATCATATGCAGCTGGCATTCAATTTTTCAAAACATTTGGTCCTGACTGGTAATCCTTGCACTGCTTGAGCATCTTGACCACATGATTAATTTTCTAAACATTTGTGGGACGTGGGTTGACATTCCATTGCATCCAGCTGTGCAACTAGATTACTAAGAACTTTAGATTCTTTTTGGGTTTATGGCACTGTTGGTACCACTATCTGCTTCTCATTTAGTTGGTCTGGCTGGCCAAGTAGTAAGGTAGGTTAGGTTGCAGTTGTTGAACTTCTTGCAATGTTGAGATGGGCCAGCACAGAAAGTCATTTGTGTCATAAACCTGAACAGAACATCTTAAAAGGAACTAACTGACTATGTAGAGGAGGTTTGTTTGAGAGTGGTTTGGTTATGTTTTAGGCTAGGTTTTTTTAATTGTTGCGTAAGGGTATGTATGAGAATGTCCATCTACCACTGTAGCCAATGCCATTAGATTTCTTGGTGGCATGCCTTAATGAATTGATACAATAAGAATGTGTTAATTACGCTTTTCTATATTACTTCTCTAATTAACACAAGCTCTGCTCGGATTTGCTACTTCTAGAGTAGAATTTTTACATATATATTTATATTCATACTAGTTCAATCCACTGGTTGACTTGACATGAGAACCTGTAACCCTAACCTTTGTAGTAGAAATGCATTTCACATGCCTTATTGATTGATTGCTTTAGAGTCTCAGACAAAAGAATCCCTCCCTCTGCCCTTTTCACTTGTTCACAAGTTTTCTCTGCACTTACATAAGTGACAGTGTATGCTGTTATATGAAGAACACATTGGTATTTCTAGTGTGTTAGTTTAGATCACATCAAATCAAGAGTTTGGTAGGAAACAGGTTACAGATCAGTTATAATGGATTCTGATGATGGTATATTAAAAATGGTATTATTGGATTTCTGAACTTTGTCCATCATCATATAGTCTGGACAGAACGCAGGATTTCAGAAACTGTATCTGTTTCTGTCCTCAGGTGGGAAGTTACATGCTCGTTGGATCTGTTAGAAACATCAGATTTTAGTAACTGGCCAAACATATTCAGTTAACTGAAGTTATATAAGCCACAATGATTACATTTTGTAATGGAAAGTATTAACAAAATTTACAGTAATTGTGGAAATATTAATGAAAAAGTATAGCTTCAGTTGACTAACGATGGTTTTCCAGTGATTGATTCGTCCTAATGGACCATACTGAATAGCTACTCCCTGTGTTTTTAGCTGAAGGTGGAAACAGGTCCAATTACCAAAACACTGTGTTCTGTTCAGAAGAATGCTAGATGATTGACAAACTTCAGAAACCCAGTAATACCAACAGATTATGTCTTGAATTCACTAACAGTATGGCAATAAACTAGGAGATTGCTTATTTACTGTATTTGGCTTTTATCCATACTTGGCTGGAGTTATTAAGGAGGAAGAATTTGTTCCATTTGGCTTTTCATGAGCCACTGTTTGCAGTCAGTCATCTGAGGGTTTTCTGAATGAAATGCATGTTGGCTATACACCAAGAAACATTGGCTCGTTGGTTGGTGGATGTTTATTGTTGTTTGAATATTCTCACCATAGTTACCTGAATAACATTAGTTGGAAAATAATATTAATGAAAATACTTAGTGAGAAATTCTAAATTTGTATTTTTTAAATATATCAGTTGCTATTTTAAATGTATTAGACAATTATCCCCCTCCTTTATATGATGATTTTGGAGAACTTGATATTGATGCTGAGCTTGGAGAACTTGTCCTGGGAGGAAATAATATTGGGGTAATTATGGTGAATCAGTGTGTAGCATAACAACATTTGAATTTGAAAGCTTGGTTTGTGACTTGTGGTTTAATAGACTAAAAATGAATATGTGTACCAGGAATCTAACAAGCCAGGGTTTCTCTGTGTGTGTGCGCCTCATTTTCTGCATTTTATTAACAACATTTCTTTTTTCACTGAAATGAAAAATTCAATGACATGTTTATTTTAATTTTTTCCTTTTTGCGAATAGCTGGGTGCCTTCTCTCAAACAGTCAGTTGCATAAGGGCCTGCAAAATCAAAAGCAAATTGTAATTCCACTGAATCTTTCTTTCCTAGTTCCTGCAACTGAGTATTTTCCAGAAAGCATGAGTTTCATCATACATGTTTAAAATATATGACAAACTTGCAGTTTCTTATATTTTTTTTTAATTCTCTCAGAAGGAAATTAAATGTATACCACCAGACTCTTGTGTAAAATAGAGGCAGTGAGCTAGGCTTAATTTTTTATCCCCTTACTTAACACAAGTAATGACATTATAGCCAATTTTACCTGTAAGTTTTGTAAATCACTATAGCAAAAATTTGATATGACATGAAATATTGAAGAATTAAAATTCCTTTGAGATAGATGAAGAATATAATTTACCTGCCACATAGGAATTAACAGCTAACTGTAGAGTACAATAACAAAAACGTCTATTGTATGTTATTTTAAGAAAATTGAAAATATAGGTACAGCACTAATTTACTATGTGAGCAACAAATAAATGGTGTTGGTCATTTTAATGAAATTCTTTAAAAAGTGTAGCATTGCACAGAATTTTAGGTGTAGAGCTCATTACAGTCTGAAAGAAAATGTGTAGGATGAATCTGATGCTCTTAGTTAATACTCCAATATCCATGTCTTCTCCTAATACCACTTACATATTCATCTGCAAGATTTGAATTTCAGTGTTTTCTTGTGTCTCTGTTTTTCTCCTTTCCCTCAACCATCATCCATTGTGGTGCCCTTTATCCATGTGGCTTCTTCTTCATCATCCATTGTTCGCATCTTCTCTTCTCTTGTGTGTAGGCCATTTTCGCAAGTTGTATTCCTGAGATAATTGATCTGATTGGGACTAGACCCAAGTATGGAGGGACTCTCAAGAATGAACGCGGCAGAAGGTGAGATCTGACCCAAAAAAACAAATAAACAAATAAACCTCTAGCTGTTATGTACACATGTCATCACAACCACTAACCACACGTTTCTCTTCCACTTGGGAGATGTCAGTAACTTCTGCCTGAGAAGGAGAAGTCAAAGAGGAAGAGAGCAATCATTGTACAAGACATTACAATTTTATGATAAATTTTCTTTGTTTTTTATCTGTTGATTTAACCTTATCTCTGTCTCTTTTCTTGACAACACAAGAAGGAATCCAAGTAGATGATGAATTTTGTAAGATAGCTGAAGAAATGTAGAGCAAAGCCAGTTTAAAATGGTGAGGTGCTGGCAGCTTTCTGATGCATGTAATTGCTCAGTGTCAGTAAATAATACCCCAGGAAGTCCATAGAAAACCAGTGCAAAGTCTGAAGTTTGAGGGCTCAGACATGTTGCAGGTACTCCAAGTACCCGTTTTCTTATTTTTCTTCCTTCTTTGTTGTTCTTGCACATATGTCACAAACAGTACAAGGAAGTTTAAAATTAATTTAAAGTGAAATTGGAATAAAATGTGAAATTTAAAAATTATGGAGTTTTTAAGTCAGCATTTGCTACTGAATCCTGCTCCAACATATTTTGATCAGGTCAAGGTTATAAAGTTACCACTCACTTTGATGAAGAACAGTCTGATTTAAATTTCCATGAAAGTTGTAGAGTTATTAAAAACATATTTATAAGTCAGCTATCTAGCTTTGATTTTCCCCTCAGATATTAAACCTATTGTAATACATAGTGAGAAATATTAAGTGATCTGAAGTGTGAAATTCTGAGAAATGACTTGTGGACTGAATCCTTCCCACTATCCTGGAATTTGTAGGCAGTTACCACTTGCTCACAATTGTACCAAATTTGTGCATGAATTTGTTTAGTGTAGGATATAATTTAAAATCAACCAATTTTCTGAATAAACGTCTGCTAAAGTTAATTTTTATCTGTTCAAAATGTTGAAGCATAAAGACATATTCTATTTAACAGAAAAGCAGTTCCAATTCTCTATGTATTATTTTAATACTTCATATTTAAATTACTAGCTCTTACTTTTGAAAGAAATTATAATTAAATGATGTCATGATGTTTGTAGGTATAAATATAGCTTTTGTGAAAGTTATATTCTTGGGAGAAAGTCAATTGGAAATGCTTGTGTTTTTCCAAACTGGTCTGTTGGTTTCTTTTGTGTTGGACAACTACTACTACTACTACTACTACTACTACTACTACTACTATTATATACACTGCATTTAAAATTTAAATAAAATGAAAAGTAGCAGTGAGTGAGCAAGCAGTAGCTTATTTAGCTATAGTTGGCTCTTATAATTTAATGAATGATGTTAGATATTAGTCTTTGACATTTCCATTCTGTTGGCATCTGTCACAACAGCAGCAATAGCACCGTGGTGCAGCCCACTTACAACGAACCGCTTGCACAGAAAATTGTTCCCCACTCATTGTGTTCTCATTTTGTGCTTTGTCAGAAACTTGAAGCAGTTTCCTTTATACGGAACTTGTGTTTATTTCGTGCAGGTAGGCAAGGTGGAGAACTTCTGTATGAATTTGAAGATATGTAGCTTTAGGTGAAATGGAGATTATATTGCATTCTGAACTAATAGGGATAAGGAGGAAAGCAGTTCAAGCTTATTTTTAGAAATTTTTATGGAGGGATTAAGGAAAATCACAAAAGCCCTTGAACAATGTAGCCATTCCTAACCAGGATTTTAACTAGATAGCTCAAAAATACAGGTCTCTCAAAGTATTGTTTACCTAAACCTGTCAAGTTGTTGATATTTTTGTTTATTTTCCCACAGCTTTACTGCTGGAGATTTTGGAACAGATTAGAGTAATTGTTGTGATGTAACGAGAAGCAATGAGAAAGTGATTATTGTATTGTGGAATCTCTAGGTCCATATTGTAAGACAATCCTTTTAAAGCATCAACTCAGTAGTCACATTTCGTGTTATATTTTGTACTAAGAGAATACTGTCTTCTGGAAGGACTGAGAAAACCTGGAAAATATATCTGATAAAGTTAAGCAGTCTTGGATAAGAATTTGTTGCACTTAACGTTCCTTCCTGTTCTGAATAATTTGCAGCATGTCTCCCTGCTTAAGGAAGAATTGGATTATTTGCTTATGTATGTTTTATAATTTACCTTTTGAAAATAAGTTTCAGTTTGTTAACTGTGATTATTTGTGCCATGTATAAATTAGCTTTGATTTCTGTAAGTTACTGTTTTATTAAGAGAATATGTATTTTCTTTAACTCTTGTTCCTTTTATTTATTTGCAAAGAAAATTTTCTTATAATTCAGTTTTGCTGGGTTTTGTATATACAGTCTTTCAAGGAAAATAATATGTTCACAGTGTAGAAGCAGGAAGAAGAAAAAAAACTGTGAAAATAAGGATTTATAGATTTTAATATTAATTATTTGTAGATACATTACGAACATAGTTCTAGAACAACATTCAGTGTTTAGATCTTGAGGTTATAGACAGTATTTGTGTAAACAAGCCTGTCTTCAGAAAATCTATATCACTGATGGTTATTATACAGATTTCCTTTACAGTTTATGCCTGTATTCCCGTTTTTGCTTGCGTCAGATTCCCCAAAATTTAAAAATACCTGAGTGCATGTAAGCCAGGTAAGAGGTCTTTCTCTTAAGAGCAAAGATCCATTGTAAGTGGGCTGCACTAAGTGTAGTTATTTATCACTCTCTTGCATGTATATCTTTCTAATAATATTAACCACCACTTGCTTAGCTAATAGGTAGCTTATTTTAGGCTGTAAATAGGTGATTGTACTGGAATATCTCTTACTGTCATAAATGAATTAATATGTATTGTGGGTAAGCATGCAGAGTGTGACAATTTTAATTTCTTTCTATCTCTGTAGGAGTTTTCCAGTGCAGTCTCATAATTAGCTCATGTTGGAGTAGATTGATTTTTTTGTACTTGTAGATTAAGGTAGAACTAGTTCACTTGCATTTTGGAAGCATGTATATTTGTATTGATTGTGATTTCTTGGATTGTGGCACCATGCAGTCATGTAGGTGGTTACCAACCTTTCTTCTGAAGGTGAAGGCAGTTTGTTCCTCCAAAACATTTGTAGTGACCTTCATGGTTTCACAATCCAGCAGATCACAATTGACATCTTCACTGCCATAAGAGACCAAGATGTTTTGAGGTAGTGTTTAATTTTATGTATGCAGATAAAAAAGAAAGTTTGATGATAAAATGGATTTTTAAAAAGCCTTGTTCTATATATTATACTCTTAATTGAATAACTTTCTTACTGTATCTTATATTCTGTAATTTTTATAAACTTTCCGGTTTTTGGAAAAGGGCAGCTGACAGGGATAAAGTGATTCAACTTACATAAAATTGTCTATTTGACTAGGATTTGAATCATACACAGTTGATTTATTTTGGATGTTGTTCTTACAATCATAATGGTGCACCTTTAATTTTTAAATATAATGAAATGCTTATACAGGTAGCCCTCGATTTGCGCCGGTTCAATTTTCTCCGATTCAGAATAACGCCGATTTTGAAACCAGCAGGTCAAAAAGTGAAGAAAAAAATATATTTGACCATTATTTATAAAGTTTTATAATGTTTCTCGTACTGATTCTTATACTAAATCGTAATTCTTACATCGCTGATTTTGAATACAAATTATAAATGCAGTCATCTCTGCAATTACGTATATTTCGTTAACGCGAATTTGCTCCAATGAGATCGATGAATCGGCAAACTAATTTAATCTCTGCGGAGGTACCGGGGTTATTTTTACTACGCGATTTTCGATAGGTCGGCGTCTTACAGGAATGCGACTATCGCGTAACAGCAGAGATGACTATACACATCAATCACATGAAAGAATCGCAGTCAATCGCGGGGACCAACGAATTGCCGATTGTAAGTGTATAAAATATATTTTTTAAATTCCATTTATTTTATTTACGTTATTTCAGAGCTTTAAATATAATGTCATTATATTACTCGTCAATGTTTGGGTGCTGGGAACGCATGTCATTGACTTCCCATTGATTTACATTATAAAAGAGTTTCAATTTACGTCGATTCCGTTTACGCCGGTTCGTCCAGGAACGCATATCCGGCGTAAATCGAGGGCTACCTGTATTTAAATGTATTAAAGATGCTGAAGTGTCTACTATAAAAATTCAAGCAATATAGAGATTTCATCATGAAATTCACATCCAATAAGTGTTTTGTTAAGTGAAATATTTCAGTGAAGGCAAAAGAGAATAATTATCAAATATATGAAACTATTATTTAATTTTTTATGTGGCAGACTTTCAATTGGTATTCTTGTCTGAACTGATGCTTCTGTTATCAATTTGTCATATTACTGAAAAAATATTGACTGCAACTAATTAAGTTGTACATTTGCAGTGCTGTATTTTGAAACATTATTGTTTTTAATATGCTAATTAATTTCATTTTGAAAATTAGACATTTGTCATATTTTTCACTCCATAGTGATGTACAGAAAGGAAAATATGCTTAATTATGTATTAGTATATCTTACATGGGCTGCAGAAATGGAAAATTTATTTATATTGCTTTTAAACTAAATATTGTAAAACATTTATAAATTATTTATCATGAAATATCTTTATCAGTGATTTCTAACTTATTCCGATTTAGAATAAGAGCTAAATTTCTTCTGGTTCATCTGCCAATGGAGCAGTAGTGGATTTTCTGAGGAGCAGCCCATATTTTTATTTTATGAGAAGTGTTTATTTTATATCTGAAATGTCCATAAATTTTTACACAAAGGCAGAGATATGACAAGTGTCACAAAAGTTGGAATGATGTGTTACAACCTCAAAACTAATGAAAGTCTGCCACAAGAGGAGTTTGAAGATTTTGATGAGACAGTTCAACTCTAGCTTGTGAATATTTGTGTGTGTGTGTGTATGATTTCCATAGGCACATCGTGGTATGTGGACACATCACCTATGAGTCAGTATCACACTTCCTCAAGGATTTTCTCCATGAGGACCGCGAAGATGTCGATGTGGAGGTGGTATTTCTGCACAGGTATGGCCACATTATGTAAAGCTTTTTGCCCAACAGCTTGTATTTAATTTTGGATAACAAACTTTAACATGCTTGACTTGATATTTATAATAATATGCTGCTAGTTACATAATATCTCTTAGCACCGCGTAACAATGTTAACATGCAGGCTGCTGGCCGAGGAGCCACATCCCAGAAGATGGATGCACAAGTATACTATTTTTTAATGTGCTGCTAAAACCTTTTACACCACTAGTAAAAAATTAGCATAAATGATGGCCATTCAGTACATCAGTTGTCAAAATTTGTCAAATTCTTGCTCCAGAATTGCACAAATTTTCAGCAGTTTATGCATGTTGTCCATCATGAATGTGCACATTTTTATACACATTACAAATAGTATTTTGCTGTGTTCATTTTTTTGTTCTTCTATCTCCAGTGTTAATGCATTTGTAGTTTTATATTTGGACTACAGATAATTGCCTTAATAATAATAATAATAATTTGAAGGCAGTTATTTAAGTGATAGTACATACTATAATTTGTGCTATCTCATGGAAATTCATACACTGAATGATATAATGTGAATATATTAAGTAAACATGGAGATGAAGTCTAGTGATTCTCAGCTGATGATTAGTATTTGTAGGCATTCAAGCTACTTGCAGTCAGTGATGGTTCATAGTACGATGTTTGTATGTGTGGGGATGGCTCCACAAATCCAGAAGGAAAGTGGATGCTGAACAGTTTAAAATAAATTGAAAGTAAATGTGATAACATTTATGAAGTTTTAATGTTTAATTTGTGATCTTATTGTAATTCTTTTCCTGAGTTTGTCATTTTGAAACGAGAGAGTGTGGTTTACTCTGGATTTCTAATGTAATTGATGGACAGGCAAGGGATTTATAACTGAGGAATGTGTTGCTATGATGTCCTTGATAGTATTCACTGTTTCCTCCTGGTACACTGGTCCACACTGACTGCAAGGAAGAATTCTGCAGGTGTGCTAGTGGTTCTGTCCATGCACATGTCAGCTCGTGGCCTAAAAAGGAATTAAAAGAGGGGTGACGTCCTTGTTCTTTCATTCTAGTTTTCTTTCAGGGTCATGCACAAGTCACATCCCAGGAGAAGTTTATAATTTGTACATGAAATATTCAGGGTTATTCAAAACTCCTTGTGCACCTGTAAGAACAAATGTTGGAAGTGGGTAGTGATTCATTCAGTAATCCCTGTGCATGCATGTTATAGATTTGTGTTACAAGACGTGTTCCACCTAGGGTGTGTGCACATAGGGACTTTTGAGTCACTACCTATTTCCAGCATTATTTGTTTCTACAGGCACACAAGAACTTTTCAATCATCACTCTGTATTTATATTTCTTGTTGCAGGTGGTGTTTTAGAAACATGGTACATAAAATATTAATAAATATTAAGTGTTCTGATTATAGTCTATTACAATTAATAATATTAGGTTCCTGGGCTTTATCCATTGTCTGTATTTGGAATACAAGATGATGGAGAAAGTCCAGAAACCCTGTAATACACATTATAAAATATTAACTTAGTCTTAATCAAGTGTAGTTACTAAGGTTTTGTTTTCTTGATTGAAATTGATATAAGAGCAGTGTTTGGCAGCAGCTTGTCAGATGTTGGAATAGATTTATGGCACTAAACATTGAAAATTTATTTTATACGTATGACTATATGAGAACAGAACATGTACTTGGTTGGCATTTGTGGAACATGATAACAGAGTTAAAAACAGACTTTTACTGTAGGAGATAGTGAACCTTTAAATGTTACTATTTGTGATTGTGTTGCACTGTGATAGTTTGACACATATGAAGTAGTGTAGAGTAATTTAAATTGCCCATTTAAACAGGTTGACCTGTCATAATTTATAATAGTCAACCAAAATTAAATAACAGTTTACTCCTGCTTGTCATTGTCAATTTTGCAACTCAAAAATGTTTTAGTAATACTTTTGTTCAGTTTAACCAAAATAACTTCTATCTAACTAACCTACTAAATAACGAACTAACTAATTAACTTGAAGGAGTAGGGTCCTCTTTGAAAAGCTAATATTTGTTTAGCTTGTCAGGAAATTAAACCATCTTCTATAGAACTCAAATATTCATTACAGTGTACAAAAGAATTCACCACTGGACCCTATCCTGAGCCACATGAATTTAGTACACTTGTTTATATCCTGTATTTTTAAATCCATTTTAATATCACTCTTTCATCTTTAGTGGTTTCTTCCTTTCAGATTTTCCTACAAAATCTTTATAAGCATTTATAATGTCTCATGCATGATACATGTCCCTTTGATCTCATTCTTCTTGATAATATGATCCTGTTAATATGATCCTGTTAATATTTGGTGAAGCTCCTCATTATGAATTTATCCACAGTTGTCTGTTTTGTTCAAACACTCTCAACCCATATTCTTCCTTTAATTTTATAGTTAGCAGCAACAATTATTTTAGAATCTTTGATTAAATAACACAACAGAACTGACAAAATATAAAATATGCATGTATATATTTATTGTTCTGGCTTCTTTTAAACGAAATAGTTTCAGTACAGTCTTCTTGTAATACTACCTGTGACATGATATATAAATGTATTTAATGTAGAAAATTATTCTCCATATTGGGAAGTGTCATTGAGTGACTGTGTGTTGACTCCATTTATGCTGTTCTGAGGGTTGGTGTATTAATATTAAGTGACAGTTTCATGTAATTTTACTTTTATATGAGGAAATCTGATTTATACATTAAGTTTCTTATAATTCAAGGTTATATTTTATTTTCGTGACAAATATGATCATAATAACAACTGTTTACTCAGACTGCACAAGAAATGGACTTAACAAGGTTAGGTATTAAAACTTAACCTTTTATAATTTACAGATTAAATGGAAATGGGATTTATTGATGAGAAAATGGTTTTATTTTTTGTTTATTGAATAATACCCAGCTAGCTATATTAATTATAAACAAAACTTTGACATTTATAGGTAAGTAGGAGTGTTTGCTTGGCAGGGGATTTGAAGGTTATTTTTGTCTTGTAGATTTCATTACCACCTTTTTGTCTGAAATAATATTTTATTTAAATGATTGCACAGTTCTAATGGATCAATGAAATGTATGTCATTATAATTATGTGTCAACACTTATTGTTTAATGAAAAATGCTTGGTATACCCATGCAGATAGTAGATATATGTTTCAAAAGTGAGTGTGGTGGTTGCTATGTCTGACATTAAATCTTGGTTGTCAGTGTGTGCATAATATTCCATTGTTTTAGTACAGGTATTATGTGCATGATAGAGTCTATCTCTTATATATAATATCTCAGTAAAAAGTAGAAAATTGTGTTCTGTTTAATTAAAGCACAGTACATTCACAAGCCATGTACAATTTTTGCATGCAGAGTTAAATAAAATTTGGATCTGAATCCAATGAATTTAAATATCTTGCACAACTAATATGCACCTAATGTAACCTATTAGTATGAGTAAAATTAAAATGATACCTGCTATTTATTCGCTGAAATTACAGTGGATGTAAACATAGAAGAGTGCATTGTCATCACATGATCCATTCTTATGTGGGTTCTTGTAGGTGCTTTAACCCTCAGATAATGTGATTTATGCTAAAGCAGCTGCAGGAACCCACATAATAAGTGATCACATGATGATAATGCACTCTTCTGTATTTACATCCATTGTTTTGTCTCTGTGACTAGACAGTAGGAAAGGGAAAATATAACCAAATACACTGGTGCAGTATCATCAGTACCTGTATATGAAATTTGAGGTTCTCAAAGCAATGAAGATGTCATTGTTGGTCTTTGGGGTTATAATGCTATGTGGACGTATAAGTAGATACCATCGTTTCATAGGAACTTATTTCCTTCATCTTCTGTGCTGAAGTATACAAAATGTTACAACCCAAGGGACTTTAATATTAATGCTGGAAGATATTTGAAAGAATAAATTTATAATAATGTTAAAAAATTGACTTTGTTTAGCATTGGGGTTGAGAGCTGTACATAGTAAACTCTTTTAATGTTTACCACAAAGGAAGTGTAGAGTGAAAGCACTAACTTTATTGGAATGATAGATAACTTATGTAGTTATATGGCATCACCAACTTTTTGAAGTATGAAAATTCATTTTATTTTTCATAAACAAATTTATCCCCTGTAATTTTCTTGGGGGCTTAATCACATAATATGAAAATTAAGGTGGCACTTAAAAAGAAAACTTACATGAAATGGGTGCAGGAATGGAACAATGGAATATTGTTAGAGCAGTGTTAAAGACCACAATCTGACAACCAAGATTGCAAATTCTGTTGTGTGTTTATGTTGTGCCATCCAAGGTTTAGCAGCTGTTGCATCATTGAGTCATGTTTTGTTTTTTCCATTACCCTCGTGCATCATGATTGATGAATTCAGGTACAGATTTCAGATTTCGAGAGACTGTAGAAGAGTTGAATTTATAGTTGTAATATATAGAATTGTTGACATTGATATTAATTTAATAGTGTAGGCTCAGTCAAAGGTATGAGGGATAATGGACCATTAAAGTAACATCTATGGGGATATAACAATGGAAAATGATTGGGAGGGGATGTTTAATACTGTTAGGTTAGTGGTGCACTCAGGTCTGAAATACACAGTTCAGTGATTTGTGTGTAAATACTAACAATTTTGAATGATTAATTTTATTGTGAATAAATAAAATCAGAATTGATCATATTGTTTTTATTTGAAAAGTGCCACATGTATCTGGGCAGTTCAAACAGCTTCTTGACACATAATAATTGTTAATATCTGCTTGTCACTTTGAGACAATGTAACATTGGTCATGTGGGCCTGAGTGCACAAGTGGGGTTGACCCTCGCCTTGTATTGCAGGAAAGAGCCTGACCTGGAGCTGGAAGGGCTGCTCAAGCGTCACTACACAACTGTGGAGTTTTTTCAGGGAACAATGATGAATGCTGTAGACTTAGAGAGAGTGAAGGTAAACCTAACCTAACCTTAACACCGTACACTTGCGGTGGCACATCTGGGACCGTGGCATCGTGCGTTGGGCTCTAGGCCCCTTTCCTTGTCAACGTTTGTTTTTTGGCTGCTTCGATTTTGATTGGCTAGCTGGAATGCTGAGACTGCATCAGTTGGCAATTGTGTATATATATATAGAATTTGGCTCTTTGTCAAAGTGATTATTATTATTGCTTGCATATCTTAGTTTCCCCTTTCTTCTCCCTTCCAAATAAAGCATATGTTGAATAAGTTGTATCACTTCGCATTTCTGTCAATATCATGCTTTACAAGTTGATAACTAACATCCTGATTGAGATTTGAGGCTCTCATAGTGGTGAGTATGAGGATGGCTCTCTTGGTTGTTTCACCATGCAGTCTAGGAGAAGTTTACCTGTGTTTCAGAGGTGCTTGTTGCCTCCATTATCAGGGTGATGATTGAGGCAACAAGCACCTCTGAAATGTCAGTAAACTCCTACCAGACTACATAGCACATTAACCCAGAAGACAGCCATCATAAACATACTGTTTTCTCATAATGTCTCCAAAATAATTAATTGATTTGATTTGCGTGTAGAAACTCAGGAAGTACTACCATCCTATAATGGTTGCTGCAATATAAGTATTGTCGTAGTGTATCACATCACAGACTGAACTTTGAAAGACACTGGTACTTTGGTTATATATAGGTTTTGTCACAAGTCAAGATTTAAAGTCCTGTTGAGTTGAGACTAAATAATTGAATTTAAACTTTTGATTGAAATTGGAACTAAATATTAAATTGTTCAACATAGATATACCAGAATAATTACTTTGGAAATACTAATACATATACAGCATAAAATAAACTATCTGATTCATTTAAATATTTAACAAAAACTAAATGGAATACAGAAATGAAACATTGTTGGAGGAACTTTCAAAATGTTTAGTAACATATGGGAGAAATGATGTAACTGTAATGATGGCCACTATATGTGCAACTGTTAACATGGCAGTAAAGTGATGACTCAGCTCTAGAAAGTGAAATGAATTTCCTCAAAAAGCTGTTTTGAACAGTGGTCACAAATTTTGTGAAATGGAACTTGAGCACACAAATCTTTTTCTCATGTTGAATCACCATTTTACTGCCATGCCAACAGTTGCACTCCAAGTGGCCATTAGAATTTCAACACTTTTGCCACATGCTACAAAAAATTCTTGAAGTTTCTCGTCCAGTGGTTAAATTTCATTTTTTATTCCATTTAATTTTTGTCAAATGTCTGAAACTGCTCAGATAATTTAATGTTTACCCTATATTTACAAAATTTCATAGAAACAGAAATATGCTTGATATACTGTTGTCAAACTTGTATGTGAGTGATAGATTTTACAGAAAACTGGCTTGTACTTGTACTTTATTTGGGCATAATTTCATGTTGCAATATAGTTTAGTTCCTTATCCCTTGATTTGTATTCTCAACACACAAATTTTGCATGACATTTATTAATGCATTTGTTCCTTCCTGAAGAAATGTTCAAAGAGATGTTCTGAAATATAGTGTGTGAAGGTGGAGTTTGATTCTTTTACATTGATGAAACTATTTATGTTGATTTTGATCCCATTCATGATTATAAAATTCTTTATAATCTGAAACATTTTGCGTTTTGGATAAGGCATGACAGTTTGAAAAGATGAGTAATGGAAGTATTACATTTAGCTAAGTTTTAACATGGATCAAATACTGTTGAAACATAACATAGATGGTGGTTTATGGTAAACATTAGGACTATCTTGGTTAATAGGTGCTTTAGTTGTAGCTGGCCAAAGTACAGAAGCTGTTTCATGTAACCCAAGTTAATCTTCATAATAAAAAATGAAAAGACTACTGTTCATCTCAGTCATTCACACCATTCTAACTGGTTAACATCACCATATCTGAACATCTCTTACATTTCAGTAGCTGTTTTTTTCTATTTCTGCAAGGTGGTCAAGTCCTTTTTCCTAGGAACAGCTCATGGTATGCAATGAGTCATGCTGAGGAAGGAAAACATTCTCTTCATTGCATAAACATGATCAGTTAGCATCCTTCAGTTGTTTGTTGGTTAGTAGCTCACATTAATTACTTTTTCTTTTCCTTGTTTGTTGTTATTGGTCGGTGGTGTACTGTGATTGGCTGGTTGGGTTTCGTCGTATGGTATGATTGGCAGAAAACCACCGGACCTGGAGCTGGAAGGCTTGTTCAAGAGGCATTTTACTACAGTTGAATTCTTCCAGGGGTCTATTATGAACCCCATCGACCTTCAGAGGGTCAAGGTAAGCTGGATACAAACAGCGGTGTCAGTGGAAATTTGGGTGTGATGCAATGTGATGTGTGTGTGGTGTGGTGTAATTGAAAAGGGTGTGTTTTCCAGGAATGGGTCTGCAGAACTGTTGTGTATTGAAGTTTTGCTTCAGATGAGAGATGACTGTTATTTTATTGTACTTTATCACAGACTGATATGAATGACTGCCTGTTGTTTCTACATCCTCACTCTTTCTTCAGGTGTGAGCTTCTGTTATCCTTATGTACTCATTCTCATTTCATAATATCCTGGCATTATTATTTTTTAATTTTTGCAGTTATTAAATTAAATATAATGACATTTCAGGTTTTGTATATATTAAATGTTTCCAGGATGCAGCTGGCCTCATTAATTGATGCAGATTTTGAAAAGAAAGCTTGTTTAATGTGTTCTGATCATTGGTGATGGTTTAGCAGGCCACTTATTACATCCATGAAAAGTGACATACATGTAACAAACTGTAGAATTATAAGTAAGTTTTGATAAACCGTTATTATTGGGAAAGCAAGATTGTTTCAGACAAACAGGAATTGTCTGCAGTGTATTAAACGTGATATTTTTTAAATGGGTTACTTAAAGAATTGTTCGTATATTTAATTGATATTTTTGACATACAAGATAGATCAATATAAACATTTTCCCAAGTTTTCAGGACAGAAAACAGATATGCTCAAATAACTGTACAGTGTTATTAATGTTACATACTGTGACAGAGAATTCAAAAGTAAATTATGTATAAATTTAATTAGAGGGCAGGAGAGGCTATCTTTAATTTTTTTATTATGCAGTTATATCATTGGTGCAAGTATGTCACTTTCATACAACATGTGCTCTTGATATAGATGTCAATAGCATATATAATTTGAATGGAAATTTTTCTTTCACCTAACTAAATTACATCCATTACAGCTGAGTTGAACAATTACTTATCTTTAATTTCTTTCACTGATACTTATAGGGTGTGAACAAAACCTCCTGAGTACTCATATTCATGTCACTTTCTAGAATCTTCATCAATAACTTACTAGAGCTGTCCTGTTTTAATGTTTTACTTTGTTGTGAGATCCGTGGTGTTGGCTGTATTGTCTGTGTATATCAGATGTCTGTTTTACCACAGGGAACTTCAGTGTGAGGTTCATCGTGAACTGAATGATAATCAAGCAGTTGCACAAAAATTTTCTTCTAAGTAGGAATTTTATTGCATGTATATGTTGATGCAATTTAAAATTGAATTACAGTGAAAACATTTGGTGAATTAGATATTGCAATGGATCCTTGCTTTACCATTGTTTGTTATAATGATTTTTGTAGTGGATAAATTGAATGAGCTGCATTCTGGGGACCAGTGATAGAATACTAATAACATTTTCTGGCTTCATAAATAAATTTTACCTCAGATTTAGTTTTTCATTGCATTTTGTGTTACATAAACATACTCATTTACACACTGATTAGTGTTTATCTTCAATGAATCTTGCACATAGTATTTACAGATTATTCTGACCATATAAATTTATTTCTACATAATGTGGATTTGGTTGCTTAATATATTATTTTTGCTATTTTATTAGTGGGGACTTTATGTAGTATTTTATAAAGATGCAGGCAGATGATATGAGTCAATATGTGGTTTACTGTTGTAGATTTAAACATACAGATGGACAGAACTTCCTTTTCATCAATAATAAAGTAACTTTTAATTCAGTATTAATTAATGGTACAGGAAGGGTTCATTCTATGTAGATCTCAGTCTGCATTCTTAGTAAATAGATTCTCAAACTTTAAATTTCAGTCAAGAAATTGATGGATGTCTGTTTATATGGCAGTTGCATCAATATTTCCTTCAAATAAAACTCAAACAAGAAATGATTTTGAATGAACTTATTAGTGTTCTTAAATTTGTTCCTTGTGGTCATGCCAGTCTTATGGCACAGGTCAAGCTAAGACAAAGATTATATTTCATTAAGCATTTTAAAATAATTTATTCCATAATACAGACCACTGCTGTTTTAGAAAGAATATAAATTTTGGAAAGCTTCAAAACTTGTTTTTATTTTTCTAATGTAGTTATGTTAGGTCTGGTTTGTATTTATGCTTGCTAGTGATGAAACATTGGCTTCAAAAGACTTATCCTAGGGGTCATGTGGTACTTCAGTTAATTTGAAGCCATGTGTTATAGCTTTAGAGTACTTAAATTAATTATACAAGACTAAAAACTAGTAACAAGTACGATATTTCACTTTTAATGAAAAATGCACTCATTATTTTAGTAATTTTGCAAATTTAAGAGTACTGAATATTCATGTTCATATTAAATTATGAATTATAGTAATTACAATAGCAGGTAAGTAAGTGAAACTATTATTTTGCACATTTTGTCAAGATCATGAATTTTCACTTTCTTCTTACAATAATATCTGTTGACACCATGTAGTCTGAGCTACTGACAGTGTTGTAACATAAAATTGAAGTGATAACTACAGTAACTTCTAAAATAAAATGAACAGCCAGGTCTGTAGTCAGTTATTAAAACTTACGCCATCACAGAATTAAAGCGTTAAGGGAAGTATAGCTAATATATTAACGGCATTATAGTTTAAAATTAGAAGTTAATGAAAACGTGGATAATACAACAACAGCATTGCAATTCTGATTAAAATTTTTCAGTTTTTATTTTAAAGGATGTGTGAGTTCCACACTTCGCAGTAGTAGTGGAGTCCCATTTAAGTATATGCTTTGTCTGGTCAAGAATCTTTATAGTTGATTTGATACATCAGTTGCTGACCAGTTATCTGATAACATAATTTCAACATGTGCAGGTCAATCTTCAAGTTAAGTGATTGGCAACATCTCTGTCTTAAGTTTCCTTTATAGCTGAAAATATTGTAGTTTTCTGTCTTCAAAATTAGCTAGAGTAAAACCAGTGATGTGCTGATAATAACTGAGGTACAAAACTTTGTAAACCCATAATGTTAACATTTGTGAGAAAAGCCTTTTTATTTAAAACAAAGACACATTTATCTGTGTTATATTGATTTCAGCACATCACTGGTAATATCAGTGACTGTTAAAAAATCCACATTCTAAGGTTACTTATGTCTTGTCAGTGGTCTAGTGAATGAAATAAGAAACATCATTATATTATTTCTGAGGTATTATACTGTGGTGTAGGTAAATATTACAGACAGTTCTGCCAAATAGTTGCCACTATGGCTTTCTGTATCATGCAGCACATTGATTTGTGATAGTATATTCTGAAAAATAACCATCTTGGCGAGTTAATCACTATGAATTTCATACCTAACAACTAAAAATATTTATTAATATTAATATATTTCGCATCTGTGGATTATAAAAGTCAAATTCCCTATTCCAAAATGTTTAATGCTATGCTTCTTGAAATGTTAAACTCATCAAAAACATTTTTTTAAACTGACTTCTGCATAGTGACTTCAGTCTTCTTGTGGGGCATCAGAAAATTATCTGATGTAGTTTCTGAGAATATTTATCAAAATGTGAACCCTTATGTACCACTGAAATGAACTTAGTTCCTTGTTACCATTTGTCTGTGCAGGGCTGTATCTCCTTTCAATATTTTCTGGCTCTGATTGGCTAATATTCTTTTACTTACTGGTTGGGCTTTTCAAGAAGATTTTCATTTCAGAATTAATGGTACAAGTTTGATTGCTCTGTGGAAGTGAATTATATCACCACCAGTGTGTGGGACTGATAATTTCAACAACAGTAATTTATTTGGATATTTATTGATTCTTAATCAGTGATAGATATTAAAAGAAAGCTTGGAATCAGTTCATAAAGGTTGCTGTTTGCCATACATATTTACATTATGTTGTGAGTCTTATGTTCAAGTTGTCAGATATATTAAATTACTCTGGTATGGAATTTCTATTAAAATGCCACAGACAAAAAGAGTGACCTCAGAATTAGAGAATGAATGTTGAGTAAATGGATGTGAGAACAATCATATAGGTGGTCAACATTTGCTTAAAAATTATCTAGGCTGCTTACATGTGTGTTGGTTCTGTTACAAATACCAACCCCTCGATTCACCACGGTAAGTGGCATTACTTCTTTCTTACAATCTGTCCTGTTGTCTCTTGTCTTTGTACTTCTTGCCTGTCTATCTTTCTTCTTTGGGAATGTTAGCATGCTATATTTTTCGTGTATTTAGGTTAGAAACGTTAACTGCTACCCTATTTCATATTGACAATATGTAAGCTGTTTGTAATTTGAGGAACACTGATAACCACTTTATACAAAGTTGAACTAATATATTAATATTTTTAAAATTCTGGTTTATGTTAACATTGGGTTCAATGCAATGTTGCACATCAAGTTTCTGAAATCTCCGAATATTTGTAGTTTACTTATATTTATTTATTTTCTGTTTAGAGATGTATTGGAATTACAAAAGTTGCTGTTACATAATTATTTTATCTTAGAGATTTAAGTCAGCTTTGAGTTTTTGTGAGGATATTTTGTGGAGGTGACATTTTCTTAAAACGTATGAAGTGCTATCATTGCCTATGAGTTACATTTTAATTTATCAAATATACAGATTTCAAGTATAGTATTTCTTTATGCATGAATATCCTGAAACTATTTTAATTATGCATAATAATGGATTTCAGTTTAAGGTTCTCAATTTTGTTATAAAGTGATGACAGAAAGAGTGAAGAAGCTGTATAGTAGCATAGACATATGCACTTTGATACTGTTTAATTTGAGCATCCTTTGAAATGTTTTTACACTCTAGCTTCATAGAATTGATAGTACATTATTTAGATGAATATGTCATATGGTGCATTATTATGTTCATTTGTGCTTAAGCATCATATGCAGACAAATTAAATGATAACTTTAATTTATTTATAGTAAAAGCTGTTCATGACATGCCCTTATAGTAGGCCAGTCTTTGTTCCTATTGCTTCCAGTAGTTTAGCTGTAATCACTTGCTAAAATAATGCAAGTTATACAAAACATTTTTAAATTACATAAATGCTGTTGTCTGTTTAAAGTGATATCAGATGGGTACTCATTCATATCTAAATATGTTAAGAAATAACTTAAATAATTGTAATGTTGTATATATATTTTTAAAGAAAATATGTTTCTGTATCATGTTATTAATGCTCACTAATTTTAAATATTTGTGTGTTATGGGTATAGCCAACATTGCTTGACGACTATAGCCCATATGATGTCTTCTCATTTTGAGAATCTGGTTCCAGGTTTCTCACCCTTTGCTATAAGATGATAGGTTTCATCTTTTAAAAAATGTAGTCGGGTTTATCGGAATAAAATATAGCATATTGTGTGTCTTTTACCTGTCTGTACTGAAAACTGATAACAGTCTGGATTAAGTTAATCCTATAACTTCACCACTGAAACCCCTTTTAGTTGTGATTCTCAGGTGAGAAACCCTGGTTGGTTTGTCCCAGAACTTTCTGGAAATGTTACTGTGGCTTGAATATGAATGATACCAGTGAGTGTAAATATTATACAGAGACTTGATGTCTTCTAGATCAGTATCATTAAGAGGGAATAAAGGAGAGTTTACAGTTTTTCTTTGCCTTGCTTTAGTGGAAGAAATCAGTTTAGTGCTTAGCTATAAGTGGGCAAGCAGACTGAAGGGATGCTTCTGAGTTGGTTGGTGGCAGGTAGTTATTGATGTGCTTGTAGTATGCACTAAATATATTTTTTTAGCAAGCTCCACCAAAATGATAGAAATTTTAGACCATCTTGCAACTTAAACTAAACATCAGTATTTAATACCAAAGAAACTGCCATGATTCAGAACAAAGAAATTTAGTATGTGGCAATAGATTCGGTAAATTGTAATTGTGGATAATTAACATATTATTATGATTTGATATGGAGAACTTTAATGTTTTCTGAAGTTGTATGGGTTGTGAAATGAAACAGTCATTGTTATGCACGTAATTAATACACAAAGACCTGCAATTCTACACCATGATAATATTCGTTTTCTACTTCGTAAGATATTTTCACTTTGTGTTATTTATCTGTATAACCAATAATAATAATCACAATAAACTATAAAACATGTGAAGATGTAAATAAATGCTTTTAAAATTAAAAAAAAAACAAATTGTTAATTTATGTTCAGCATTATTATTATTTTTTTATTTTTGTGAGCTTGATGGAAGGAGGACAGGAAACCTTTCTTTTCCATTTTTTACCTGATTACAAAATTAGAATCCAGGTTTTGAAATGTTGTAATTTTACAATTTGGAAGGTCACTAAAGTTAAAAAACAATTTAACACTTAGATGTTATATGGAAGTACTGTTGAACTTTCACTTTAAATGCAGTTTATCTCCCTTATGTTTCCCTCCTTATTGTATTGATCTAGGAGTGATTGAGACCTCGCATAACTTTATTTATGCCCACTTATGCTACTTTTGAACAAATACTGGGAATCTTGAGTGTTTAGTGGTGGCTACGTCCTATCCCAAATGCGACAGGTTTTATTGTGGGACTCTTAAATTTGGCACAGGTGCATGAGGCAGATGCATGCCTGGTGTTGGCCAATAAGTACTGCCAAGACCCTGATGCTGAGGATGCAGCCAACATCATGAGGGTCATCTCCATCAAGAACTACTCAGATGACATTCGAGTCATCATCCAGCTCATGCAATATCATAACAAGGTACACGTGACTACATGAATCTTGTCAGTTATTTCTGTCTTATTTTCAAGATGACAATGATGATAGTGATAGTAATGGCAGTGGTAATGATGATGATGATGATTTTCATAATTAGGAATCAGTAAATTTGTGTTTCATTGACACCTATATATTCATTGAAATTTTTATTTGTTTTTAACACATTGCATACCAATATGTAATAAGGCACACAGAAGTGATTGCTTGCCAACTGTACTCAATGAAACTGACTTCACTACTGAGAATTTTAAGTAATTTTAATGACACATAAATGCTTAACATGTTCTTTTTTCACATTTTTGTCACAAGATTTTCATGAATATTGATCTTTATTAAAAATGAAGAATAGCAAAATGGTGTAAATGCATTGAATGTTACTTCATTTACATTGTTTTGGCACCTTCCTGTTTAGAGATATGGGATGATAGTGAAAAGCATCCCATTTTGTAAGCTTTTTTACTATAAATCCTTCTCTTGCCTTGGTGATTTCCTCACCTACAAGCCACCTACATAACTGGGATAATTCTTCATTGATGGGATAGCATAATGACAAGGTTGCAATGTTATATGTTATATTTTTCACATTTTGGATATGGAAAAGGTTGAAATAAAAATATGTTCTGCAAATGACCTGTCATTTATAAATTACTTTCAAAAATATATGAGTGTATATGCTTTTGACATATATAAACTACATTAATATTTTAG